ATCCCCTCGTACAAATCTGGGTCTCGGAGTCTGTTTCCTGGGGAATCCAACCTACAACAATGGCTTTGCCTCAAGATTTATGATATAGGACAAAGATATGTACATAAATGAGGAAAGAATTATAAAGCAAATGGGACAAAATGTTAACAGTTGGTGGATCTGGATGAGAATTCTTTGTGCTATTCTTGCATCTTTTCGGTAAATTTGCTCCAAGATAATGAAATTGTTAAGGTTCCAAACTCATGATTCTGCAAAAGTTAAATATAAACTTGATCACTATGAGGCTTTGAAATCTTACCAGTTTTTCATTAGCCCACTGAATGTTTTCTATGGTAGATATACTTGTTCATTTTTAAAAGTTAATTTTGTTAGATAAATGACGTAGTTTACTTCAATTACACCTAAAAGGACACTGTCAATACATAGCAACAATGTCTAGTAGATGCTAAATAATACATAGAACAGTTTGGGTATTTATGGAGGGTTTCAACTCCAAAATGTGCTGTCACATTGTTAATGTCTGATAGTTTGAACGTCAGTTTGATATCTCATCTGAGAAATATCAAAGGGTTCACCAGTTCTGCTTTGTGGTATTATCTAGTGATACAGGCTCAATGAGATCTATAGCTTCTCTCCACATAGCTTCTGCCAAGTACCTACAGCCGTGGTATCTAAGCACTCATCTTCGAATGACTCAATAGCATCGTTTCCTGCAGCATCTTCGCTTTTTCCTTTGAGGTTTCTCTTTCACATACTAGTACTCCTTGACTGTGACTTCACAGTCTTGATTGATAAATAGCTTGTGATATACAGGGTACTTCATTTCCACTAAGGAACTAAATGTGTGAAGTGTGTTCTCGCCCTCCACTTGATTGTGAAAACCCAGAAAGCAATGTTGTGTAATCACCTAATTAAGCACACCTCACTTCCATTGTTGTGCTGATGCTAAAAAAAATTTCTGAATGAATTTCTGTACACTCAGTATATTCTGACTGCCTGCCTTCTTGCTCCATAAGATAATTTATTATAGGCTTATAACATTTTAGCTATTCTAGGCTAAAATGCATCTCCAAATATGCAAGATATTTTTTTCTTTCACAATCCTTACTATTCTTCAGTTTTCCTCACACTTTACTTCACAATTGACTTCCTGAAATTTTTATTAATCTACTTCTGTGATGTCTAAAACTTAAGTCCATATCATTTCAAGGATAATTTGTTGCTGAATGCTCAAAGAGTGATAATAAAGATAGTTCCTCATTAAATCACTTGAAAGTACATAGATGATCTGAGCCTCAAACTACTGCTGTTTGCCGGTATTACTTATAAAATCTCCAAGTCCAAAATAAGCTCACTTTAATTATTCATTTTCATGTGAAGTTACAAGAAAATGAAAAGTTAGAGCCATAAATGCAAAGTTCTTATTCTTCAGCATCTTTGTCTTATATCATACTTGCTCCTTTTGCCCATGTAGTTCCTTCTGCTTGGAATAATTTCTCCCTCTGTACTTATCAGGATCCTAGCCATCCTTCAAAGCCTTCTTCACATTTTACTTCCTGTTTGAGGCTCTTTCTGATTACTCTGGTACACATTGATTTTTTTTCCTCCTTAGAATTTCTATTCCTAAAGTTAGTTATTTTAAGAAAGTTTGACCTGTAATTGTTCTCTTCTAATTTTTTCCTATAAGTCTCTGTATGTAAGACTTATCTCACTAGTCAGGCTATAAACTTTTTGAAGGCAAGGACCAGGCTATTTTTCTTGTATAATTCCTAAAATGATTTTGAAAAATTATATGCCTCCTAATATGTTTTTAACTGACGTGTGAAATTTTGTCTTAAGTATAGTAAATGCAAAGGATATAATTCAAAATATTGACATTAAAGACAAAAGAAAAGAAAACAAGCAAAACTTTCATGAGTCTTTCAAGAGCATCTAAAGGAATATAAATGCTTTTGTGATTCATATCTGTAGTCATTCATTTGAAACAATACATGGTCTTCTTTAATTATTGGACATTGTACATCATTCCCTTTTCTCCTTGAAGTCATATTTCTATTCCACATCCCTCACAGAATTTTATCCTGATAGAAAGTATGTTTATGCTTGAAAGTTATCTCTACATAAAATATGTATATAAATTGAAATTATTTTTCTAAATTGTCTGTGACCAGAGGCTTTAAGTGGCAAAGTAGTTCTTCTAGATTGACTTACTGTTAAAATTATTTTTAGTACACAGTCGATCAAAACCACATAAATGGGGGCTTCCCTTGTGGCACAGTGGTTAAGAATCTGCCTGCCAATGCAGGGGATATGGGTTCGAGCCCTGGTCCGGGAAGATCCCACATGCCACGGAGCAACTCAGCCCGTGCGCCACAACTACTGAGCCTGCGCTCTAGAGCCCGTGTGCCACAACTACGGAGCCCACGTGCCACAACTATTGAAGCCTGCTCGCCTAGAGCCCATGCTCCGCAACAAGAGAAGCCACCGCAATGAGATGCCCGTGCACCGCAACGAAGAGTAGCCCCCGCTTGATGCAACTAAAGAAAGCCCGTGCGCAGCAACGAAGACCCAGTGCAGCCAAAGATAAATAAATAAATAAATATTTAAAAAAAGAAACAACCACATAAATGTGGTTAAGTACTTATTAAACATAAAGAATAAAATTTTATTGGAAAGATATTTTTTATGAGCTACATGGAACTGTTCATTTACCCATATATGAATATTACTTATTCCTTGAAATAAACAGGGTTCAGCATAAATTCTGTTTCTGTTTTACATTTTTAGAGATGTAAATGCTGAGAAGATTTGTTCACCTAAAATTGGGTGGGGAATAGAAGGTGTTTTATTATAGCAATGTCAATCAATTTTATGAATTCTTTCCAAATAATGTGCCAAAAATTATATAGTGATTTATTATAAAAATGTTTTTCATCTCTTGTCAACTGTTAACTTGATTAGATCTTTCCTTAATGTTGTTGAAAGCAAAGGATTGGAAACACCCCACTTAGAAAAAGATTTGTTAAACAGTCATTGGGAGTAATTTACGTTCTCGATTTCTGGAAATAATACCAAAAACCTTTTGCTAAAATTTATCAAATGACTATTAATTATTCTGGTTACATTTTAATTTAACCCAATATACTCAAAATGTGTGGGAAAAATAAAATGTGTGGGAAAAATAAAAACACGAATTGCAGTGTACCCGTCAATACAAAATTTTTTGAGAAAGTGATTTTATTGTGTCATATGCTTTAAATGAATTTTCATCAAGTCTTCAGAACTGCAGATTTGTTTCATTCAATTATTGGAGAATATTTACCATATTTACCTAGTTGTCAAAGTCGGCCCTCATTGTGAAAACAACCAGTAGAATCAGATTTAAAGTTTCTTTCAGAAAACATCTAACATTATTTAAATAAACATGTAACCAGACATCACTCTGGTTGTATTCACACTCCTTAGTTTTCTTAAGATAAATAGCTAAGGCATGAAGACTTGCCCTAAGTATGTCGCGTTGGTGAAATAAGGTGCGCCTGCCTCTGATGCTTTCTCTGCTCTTCTGTCATGGGACTGTTCCTCAGGAACGATGCATTCTTCAACAGTACTGAGGGATGGAAAGCACAAGGACATTAGATGAGACTTATCAACTGTCTTGCTCCTCCGCACTGTGATATATCTGAGTACCACACATGCTGGTGTGGACCAAAAGAACTGTTGCTTGTGCCATGCTTTGCGATTAAAAGAAATATGTATAAGACAGGACAAACTTTGAAGCTCTGCTTTGGGTTTTTCATGCCTTGATTAAAGGAAGCTTCCCTATACCAGTCGTTTTTACTATTTGGTGCCTTAGAGACAATTACGCTTGTATCTTAAGGGAAGATGCACCATAATAATATGGGTAAAGAAAATGTCTTTCTTTGTAAAGTGGGAGAAAATTGATTATGAAAGGGAAAGGGGAAAGAACCAGCCAGATGCTTCTACACAGTTGCATTCTCAGGCAGATCAGTTTTTGGTAAGAATATATACAGAACTTGTGCATCTGGAAATTGAGTCCTTTAAAGCTATCTATGCCCATAAAGCTATCTATGTACTTAGACTTGGGAAGTCTTCAAGTACCCCCAGAGGTGTGCATATACCAGTTTGAAGATAGATTTCTTATGCTTTTTGTGGTCCCCAATAATATGCTGAAATATAGTTGCTGCTAATACTTTTGTTTACATAGTAATTAACATAGGAAGGAAAGTGATATTAAGACTACAAAAACATTAAATTCAGCAAATATATATAAACAGATGTATCAGCTTATCTTCATTGGCATTTCTTTTTTTAAATTTTGTTTCAATTTTCTTTTTATAAAATAATCTATACATTTCTGACTAATTTTGCCTAGCACACATGAAATTCACACTGCAGGAACAAAGTTCTTTTAAATATTATTAGAATAATTATAATTGTCATTCCTG